TGTTTGGTGTGAATTTTAGGTTGCAGTTAAAGCTAACCAAGTGATGATGCAAACATCAGAGCCAAAATGGTATTTAATGAAGAAAATGGGTTTGAATTTAAATTAGTTTTTTTTTTTGTGGGGGGGGAAACTTGGTGTGAAACAGAGCAATGAAAGATTTTGCTAGATGTTGCAGAAGAAACTGAAAAGGGAGCTATTAAAGCTGAAGGAAGCAGAATATTAGCTAAAAGCTAAAAGGGGTAGGGCACTATCTAAAATCAAAAATGTGAACTAAAATCTTAAAGCATAAAACGCAAGTTACAAGAGGCAAAAAAAATCTAAAAGGAACAAAAGGTTAGCTATATGAAATAAAAACTGGCTTAAAAAACAAAAGGCTGGTTAATAGCTAAATTAGCAAAACAATAAATAAAAGCTAAAAGAACCAACAAATAAACTAAATAAAAGCTAAAAGTATTCAAACAGTAGGTAAAAAGAAACAAACCACTGTCTAAAATATTAAAGTTGCAAAAGACTAGCTAAAAAAAGACTTAAAAGCAGCAAAAAATAACTAAAAGAAATAAAATACTAACTAAAAGCTAAATTAGCAAAACAATAATCAAAAGCTAAGGGTCAGTAAGTTGGCTTAAAGCCAAAAGTATCACAAAAACCATTTTTTCTGAAGTAGATTTCTATGAGAACCATTATTTTGAAGGAACTGAAGAGATCCAGTGTTTTTCCATGGAGAAAATATTTTTACTCACTAATCTGTTAAATGTGCTCAAAAATGTGTACATTTCCAAAATCTAAAACACTGTGAAGTCTATAGAAGTAGTTAGTTTGACAAACAAAACTTAAACTAAGAACAGGAGAAAAATTGAGAAAGTGTTGAGTCTGATTTGTCACATTTAAATAGACAACAGAGGAGTAAATGTGTGAGTTTGGTGCTCATAAGTGTTAATTAGGTGTCAATGATAGCCATGTGATGTGAGTATCTGTCACATGGAGGCAGGGCTTAAAAGCCTGAATTTAGCCTGAAACTCTCAGACTGAAGAAGTCTCTTGGAGGAGAGAYGAAACGTTTCATTAAAGAAGAACCCGTCCAGARGACCTATACAWTTTTTTTCTTTTTGGTGCTCATGGTTTTAAAGTTGAGCATTTAGAATGATATTAGTGTGTTAGAATAGAAGAAGTGAAGGAACCGGGGTTAAATAAAAACCGACAGGGGGAAAACCTTCACACATTAGTGGTGCTGGAAGGAAAAGCCCCTCACTTTAAACTCCCCCAACGTGTTTTCTGACCTTTCACTTGAAGAGACATTTATGCACTTCTCTTTCTCCAGATCAAGTTCCTGCCCTCCTCATAAGATGCTTTCTCTCCACTCCTTTGAGTTGGCAGAGGCTTTTATGTTTGACAGCTTTGTATGGACAGCAAGAGATACAGTTAAGTGTTTTATTTCACTGTGGAACAAGGCTTTTTCACTCCATTCAGCYCAGTTCTTTACAAGAGATGAAACAGTGCCACAAAAGATACTTGGAGATCTTTCAGTGTTTAAGTATGCAGCACAAGTGAAGAGAGAGTGGTTATGCTTTAAAAGATTATTTGACTTCAAAGTACATCCAGCTGCAATGCTTTAATACATATTGTCCCTGGAATATATGGGATGGTGAAAGCTTTTTTTAGTTTACATGTTTTGCTTTAAAGACCTCAGATTTTCTTTATAGTTCTAAGATGTTCTGGCCTGTTTTGAATTCTGAAGGAAAAAAACACAAAATTAATCATGCTTAAATAAACCAATCAGTTGGTTATTATTAGGCATTCATTAGGTACTTAATGGGAGTGAAACAATTAAAAAAATAATACATTAGTTAAAAGTTTCTTTTCAAACATTTGGCATTGAGGGAATTTGCTTTTTCTTTCCTTTTTTTATGATTTGTGCTCAAACTAGGTAGTGGTAGCATATATGACCCCCCACCTCAGATATCATCAGAACAAATTTTTACTCATTTATTTTTTATTTTTGGGAGCGGGGGGTCATTGGAGGGCTTGATGAATAGCCCTCCATCAGAGCTAAACAACAAAAAGCATTTAAGCATTTCTGTAAGTCCAGACACCTTTTCAGATGGAGCCCCCTCCTCAAATATGGGGTTTATTGTAAAACCRTTTGCTGGCTCAGTGTAGGTCAGACACATCTACATTCCTGCCAACTTTCACGTTGATTGGCTCAGAYGTGATTGTGCTACGTTTGACCAAAAATCTTGAAAAAATAAACAAAACAGTTAAACAGTCAAAATAAAGAAACTTTGATTTGTTTGGTGATAAAAAGATTTCCGGAAGAATATTTTATAAAATTGACTAATTGCAGTTTGGTCAACTCTACAACATTAAAGTTGGCATGAGAAGGGTCTGTCAGCCATCCTGCTCTCATTTCCCTCATCTGTCTTATGTAATCTTATTGGTGTCTGTAAAATAGTGTCACGTCAGCTAAAAGGTGGTTCTCCATTTTAATTAATCGACACAAGACAAAATAATCTGATTTTAAAAAAAAGAAAGTGCTCTTTGACTGGAGGAAGCCACTGGTATTCCCTGGCCACACGTGCACGCAGACAGAGCAGATGTTTCCGTAATGGGAGCGCAACAGGAAGTGGATTCAATTCAATTTGGCCTGAGGTCTAAAAGGACACCAACTGGAAGAAGAAGGTGATAGGGTTTCACAACGGAGGCCCATCTGTGTCCATGCTCCTTTTCAAGCCCACCGCTCCAGTCATGTTGTTAGTGTGAAATGAGACAAGCACACCCTGATGCACCATCGGCTGTAATCACCTCCTCAAATGGAGCCATAAAGCCCCCCGGGTGGAGGGGGAAGGAGGTTAGGATTTGTTTTGCTTTATTACATTCGATGCATGTATTGTCATTGCGATGGTAAAAGGGTTAGGAGGCTCGTGGGAAGAAGTCAGGTGACCTTCAGGCTTCACATGAGAGTGTCTGTGTCAGTCCTCAGCCCTTTGCCAGAGGCTGCAAACAGTGAGCTTTTGGCACAATAAATGTCAGCCAATGAAGCTTTCTGCAGCTGGAAGAGGACAATGAAGTCATGGAAACTGTGCAGGAATGGGCTGAGAATCGTTTTCCTCTTTCTGCTTCAGTTTACATGTTTGCTGTGCAAAACCTCCAAATGTTTTTGTTTAATTCTGCAGTAACACTTTTTTAATAACAAATTGCTCGTTCCAAAAACGAATCTTTGAATATACATCTGATTACACTGCAAAAACTGCCAACCTAACTAAGTTTCACAGTCTTTTATCTGCCGAAAAATATTTCTGATCTTGTTTTGACACCAACCAAGAGCTGAAAATGTTCAAAAATTCTTACCAGGTGCACTTGTCTTATTATTATGAAGTTTGTCAGGACTGTAGATGTGTCCGACCTACACTGCAGCAGCCAACGGTTTTACGATAGACCCCATATTTGAGGAGGGGGCTCCATCTGAAAAAGGGGGTGTCTGGACATACAAAAATGCTTATAACTCAAAAACTATTCAACAGCTTCAGATTTTATTTTATTTTTGTTTTTTTGTAGTTTAGCTCTGATGAAGGGTTATCTAATTAGACCCACACCCAAAACAACAAATCTGTTCTGGTGCATTGGTGCTTTGCGTATGTGCATGTATTCTCATAATTCATGATGTTTTAGATTATAATCCAGCATTTCTCAATGTATTTTTAGATGGTTAATTTTTGCAGTGAAGCATTTGGCATCAACACATTTCAAAATGTTCACCAGCAAAAAACAGATTTCATCCACTTGGTATTTTTTTTCCGGAATATTGAGCTAAAATTTGGTGCAGTGGTAGTTTGGTGCTGAGRCGTGATGCTGTGCATTATTTGAAAACTATCAGATCACTGAGATGTTTTTTTAAACTTCAGTGCACAAGGCTGCTGGTAAAATCTATCCAAAAATATTTTATTTGTCTTCAGCGTGCAGATGTGAAAGAATRAAATGTTCAAATTTAAGACTCAGAGGAAAAAATAAAAAGATGAATAAAATCTAAACATTTGAATAAGATTAAAAACAGGAAAAGAAACAATCATTTCAAGGACTGTTATTTTCTCAAACTCAATCCTTTTGGCAAAATAAACCGATTTTGTTGTATTAAAGCAAAAATAAGAGCTATRATCCAACTTCACTGAACAGGGCTGTGCTTTCTGTACGTGCACATCCATGGACAACTGTTTTAGCAAACTTTGATTCTTTTTGCTTTGTGTGCTTGTGAGGCTTACACATCTTTTGAATCCATTACATAATTATAACTTTTTACATCTAAACAACCAGGTTTAGTGGACCCAATTAGCAAAACTAAGATAAATAAATCTATTATTTCATTTCTTAGAGTTTTAAAGTATAAAACTGTGAATTAGAATAGATGAAATAATAGTTTTAGGTCATTTGCTGCATGAATGGTAATACAAGCAGTGACAGAAAAYGGACAAATGAATGGAAATCTTGTTTCCTAATTGACAAATAAAACATCTTAAAACAATAAAAGAGCATGATAGAGTAATTAAAACAGCAGAACGTGAAATAAAGGAAACACGCTGGTTATATTTGTCAAAAGTTTGAATACTCAGAGGTTGGTCCTGGAAGATTTTTGCCCTCGAGCGAATTTTGTTGATGACCTTTACCAGCAACGAGGTAAAAATCCGTAGCTTTGATTGTTGGGAGTTGGCAGGCAGAGCGAGTGTGTATCTTTATAAGCGAGGCAGATATTCTATCCTTTCCTGAGGCGAGGATTAAAACTGGAGTGTCTCAAGTTTTTTTTTTATTTTAAGTTTGTTGTGTGCTTTGTAAATATGCAGCAGTGTTGAAGGGGGGTTTGCACGGTGGCTCGGTGTGTGGAGCCCCCGAGCTGAACGGGAGCTGGTGTGGAGGAGAGGTTTGTGGATTTCTAATAAAGACAAGTGCAGAAAAACACACACACACACACACACACACACACACACACACACACACACACACACACATTTCTGTGAGGCAAATAAAAAGGAGAGTCTCATCATCAGAGCTCCTCCTGGTCGCTCATTTCTGAGCCGGAGCTTTCTCAGGCAGTCGCGTCATCTTTTGTTCCTCCCACTGTTTGCCATTCACACACACACACACACACACACACACACACACACACACACACACACACACACACACACACAGATTCCTCTCTTTTATTGTGGGAATTCCAGGCACATGTGAGTGAAGCAGATTCCAGATCCCCCTCCCCCAGCTGGTAACCCCTTCTCAATGAAGCACGCCAACGAAGGAGGAGAGAGGGAATGGAGGAGGATAGTTAAGCTAATTCATCAATACCTTTATCTAATCCCTCTTTTCCCCACGTCTCCCTCTCTCTTTGCCTCAAGGCATTCGAGCAATCCATCCAGCCCCCACCTCCATGTCTTTCCTTCCTCTCAGACATGAGTCTGCCTGAACATGTTCAGAGGGACGGGATGAATCGAGCAGAGGAGTGTTGCTACTCTCGCCTCCCTGCGTTTGTGTGTGTGTGTAAGTTGAGTCCTCAGAGGGCTGCGTGTCTTGACTCCCACCCGGAGCAAAAGCAGTGATTATAGACTTGAGACTAGGTGTGGCGAGATAGGGCGGCGTCAGAGGCTTTGTCTCTGGTTCTTGTACAACCCACCAACTTGGTGGGGGGGAGGAGGGCTCAGGCTGTCTATCCAGACTCTGTCCCGGAGCCATGCACATTGTGGGACTGAAAGAGCCGCTGTGTGTGGCTGAGCCGCTCTTAAACCAGGACTTTCCTCCCAGCGTCAGGAAAAGCACAAGTTCAAGAAGCTTAGCAGCGTAGCAGCGAGAGCACGGCCGAGCGGAGAGCTGCGGGAGCTTTTGGCCGTTTGGCTTCAGGATTCATTCATTCTTTTTTTCTTTTAACGGGAACGATTTCTTTGGAGTTAAACAACATTTACTTGTGAGGATTTAAAAGCACATTTGACTTGAAATAAACAAGATTTAAAGGATGAGACATCAATGATAAAACCACTTGGAATATGGGACTTTTAATCTCTGATTTGGACTATGGGGACTGGAAACTGTGTGTTTGTGCTCAACTCTGGGTAATTCTGCTAAGTATGTCCTGTTCATTCTGTTTACGCTTCGTGTTTGTGCCGTTTCTTCTGCTAAAAGTTTGTTTTGTTTGTTTTTTCAACAGGTAGTGTATCCAAAAAAAGCCACATTTGAAAAAATCATAAAAAAGTTGAAAGTTTAGTTTTTTTGTGTCTCTAATGTTCATCATGAGGCTAAAGGGTTCCAAGTTTTTAAAGACTTTTGTTTTGAAATGAAAGCTTTAATTGAAAGCACTGTTGTGTGACGCGTTAATTACTCAACAACACAAACATGCCATAGAAACAAGAATGAAGTAATTACAATACCGTCAGAATGAATCAGATCTGTGTCACACTTTTATTGGCTCTCTGAGGGGTTAATCTTGCGAGCCCTACTTTCAGATTTGTGAAAGACTCAAACTGAAGCTCTGTTTTTGAGGTTAACCCTCTGTTTCTCTGCTCTCTCTCTTTTTTTGCAGCTCTTGCAGGTAAAATCTCTCCAACCAGCTCGGACTCCCTCTTCAGCTCCTCAGCGATGACAGCCAGCCCCCCGCCACCCAGTGTGTATCTGCCTGCCAACTTCAAAATGTCCAATGCACAGCTGGCCTTCTTCTTGCGGGAGGCCCAGATCACGGGACAGACGTTTGGCGGCGGCAGTAAGGCCAGCGGCGGCTCCACTGGACATCCGCTGCAGCGCTCAGAGAGTTTTGTGGTTTTTCAGACAAAAGACCTCCCTGCCATCAACATAAGCTTTGGGCCTTTTGCCCAGGACCAGGCTTTGTCCAAGGAGCTGCTCCAGCCAGCCAGCCCCCTGGATATTGCGGGCCATCTCACGGTTGGCTGGAAGGTGCGGGCTTTTATTGTCCAGGCGAGGGTCTTCTCCAACAACCCCACCGTCCAGGTGTTCTTCTACATCGCCGGACGCGACTGGGACGACTTCAAGGCTCAGGACAACCTGCCGTGCGTCCGCCTGCACGCTTTCCGCGACGTCCGGGAAATCAAGACGTCCTGCCGCCTGAGAGGCAACCTGGCGCAGTGCCTGGCCCAGCTGGAGCTGCCACCATCTTGGTTCAACACCAACGTGGCGCCTCTGGGTCGGAGGAAAGGCTCCGGCGATGGGTTGCTGGATGGGCTGACCGGCGAGACCCTCCAGGCGGAGCTCTACTATACGCTGCACGATCCCAACGTGGACGGGGAGTGCAGCGAGGGTCAGAGAGGGGGCGGCCCGTCCAGAGGGGAGCCTCTGTCGCAGCACCCTCTGCTGCGCATCGGGAGTATCAGCCTGTACCAGGCCAGCCAGGAGCAGCTGCTGGTGGACAAACAGCTGGACAAAAACATGTTCCTCAGACTGCCAGAGAAGCCCCTGAAACCTGGAGAAACACTGAAGATCCTCCTCTACCTGATGCCCAACTCCACTGTGGAGCAGTTCACACTCAAGTAAGTCTCCTTTTGAAATGTCAACTGATGCTCCGCCTCCTTTTGTCACATCTCTTCCATCCTTAAAATACATTTTGTTTTGTTTCTAAAGTGAAATGTTTTGATGCACAACAAAAACCTATCAGGTGTCCATTTATGTGGCACCACAAATGAGAAAAATATATATTTTATGATTTTTTAATCAGATTATAGTTGATTTAGACTGTACCACTGGTTACTCAAGTTTATGAAGGTAACTTGTTCTGCTTTGTTACTACATGAGGTGTTATATGGTACAGAGGATATTTCAAAATAAATTTATCACATGATGCAGTCAAAACTACCAACTAGTTCTCAGTGTGTGAATAGAAAAAAAACACTTTAACATTTTAGACAACTTATGAAAATATTAAAGATGTCTACTGTATGTTGAAGATGGAATAAAAAAATCAACCGAAAGCCTCGTTCTCCAAAATTCCCCTCTGGTTCTGGGCCAGACTCTGGTTCTGGGCCCAACTCTGGTTCTGGGTCAGACTCTGGTTCTGGGTCAGACTCCGGCTCCAACATGTGAGGCTGGTTGAAGTCTTCTGTTATTGACATCTTTTAATTCATTTGTAAATAAAACTTTTCTGCATCCCTAATAAACATAACCCCCACTCTCAAACCAGAGTGGACCGGAAGCCGGAGGGGGCGGGGCTTGAAGCACCTTAAAGGAACAGTAACAAAACCAGCTGCTTTGAAACACACATCAGAAAATGGGTAAAAATGGGCTGGGTAAAGGAGGTAATCAAACCAAAGTCKTGTAGTTCCACTAACTGAAGGATTTAAATGTGAAAAGGAAGGATTTAAAAGAATCATGCCTACTTTAAATAATGTTGTAAGTTGACCTAAGTTGTCTAAAATCTTATAATGTGACAAGGCCTTCAGATAAAGTTCAGGGTAAATGTTTTTAATGTTCTACCTTCATAAAATACTGATTTTATGTTGTTTTAATAATCCCAAGAAACACAACTGGAAAATGCAGAGTTTTGAGTTGATGTACGTCAAAACATTTCCCCTAGAACTGCTTCACTCCACAGCTGCTTATTAACATGAACAAGCGTTCATGATGTCAGCAGATGTTAGCAATTTATAAGGAATTATATTGTGAACTATTTTAAGATTAATAAATATCAAAAACAAAACTAATTTAATTTGGTATGTGGATGTGTGTAAACTGGCAGTGAGGGGGGCCACCTGAAATCCTGCCTAGGACCCCACATTGTTTAGGGCCGGCCCTGAGCACGGTGGTGCAGTGGTTACTGCTGTCACCTCTCAGGATTGCCTGCTGGTCTGGGGCCTTTCTGGGTGCAGTTTGAGTTTTTTTCTCAGGAATAAATGCAGCATTTTATGGCAGCATGTATGTGCAGCAACTGTTATACAGTCCATGTCATATTTTCTATTGGAGGCCTTTAGCCTACGAGCTGCATTGCCGTTTCTGTTCATTATGAAAAGATGAGCATGTAATCACGTTTTTCATCCCTCTCATTAATTTCCCCTTCGCTGAGCCAAGCAACGCGCCTGCAGTAATTAAAGTCAGGTAAGATAAAGAGGGAAAGATGGTGTTAAAGTGAAGCAGCACTCAAAGATTCTCCAGTGGAAATGTTGGCTTATGACCAAAGATTTATTCTTTTTTTTCTCTTGTATGAATAGTTTGCTGCTCAGAGTAGTTTGTGTTTAAAGGTCAAGTGATGGTCGGGCATTGTGGGCAGAAACTACAAACACAGCTGACTTTTAATGCTGCAGAAAATAAATTTAATCCTAAARCATTAATATTTATTTTCCTAAACACTTAATGCTAAATACTAGCAGTAAAAATTGACTATTATAATAAAAAACTATGTTTTTGCCATAAAAGCCTTTTTATCTTTTTTTACATCAGTTTTATTCATATAATAATAAAATCATTAATGATTAAATTATTCTATAAACTGAAACAATAGAGAGTAATTACAGTTTCTCCAGGTTTTTATAGCATTTTGCTYTGTGTTTCTCTACTGTCTTATTACAAATGATTACTTTTACAGCCACTGATGACAAGAAGCCAGCTCCTGTGAGTTAGCATTTAGTTAAAATGCACATTAATACATGGCACATAATAAATAAAGGTTCTGCAAATAATTTAAATTAGATTTTCTACCTAAGTATATGTGGAAAACACATTAAAGCTCATAATGTGAGTGTCCATAAAAGGCTCTCACTAATAGGTGTCCATTAGTGGTTATCAATTTATACAGTTTCTGCTGTTTCTTGGCAGAGTTTCTCGTAGTGTCTCACACTAATTCAGCCAAATGTCTTGCTCTTTTATTCCGTCGATCCTGTTTTCTGAGTATTTTGTACTTGTATTTTAAGAATCTGCACATCCAAACTTTCAGTTTGCTTATGAAGTAGATGCTGTGACTTTTGGTTTTAGAATTTTTTTAGTTTATTGGGTTATATTACGTTGAGATCTATTCAGTTCTSTGAAATTTGCTGCTCTTATTTTGCTACCCTTTTGCTGGTTTTAGCTATTAGCCTTTAGCTACTGTTTGAATTTTGTGTTTTGCTTTTATCTAGCATTAGCACCTAGTTTTGTGCTTCTTTAACAACTCRTTTTCAGCTTTTTAAGCACATTTCAGTAAAGTTGTTCAGCTCTCAGCTTTCTAACCTCACTTAGTTTCAGTTCATCCTGGTTGTAAGGGTCATGAAGGATATTTCTCAGTGTTAAAAGTCTCAGATGGAGCTGCTGACTGTGGAGACGTTGCTGAGGAACGGGAGCATCAGCTCAGCTCTCTGCTCCTGCTCGTCGACAGTATTTAAGGTTAGGCAATAAAAAATGTTTGCACTTGACAAAGCTTGAGGAAAGCAAGTTTTTCTCTGCTTATAGAAATAAAAGCCTTAAAGAAGAGGGGAAAACCAGCAGGACCTCATTATGAACTTGGAGCTGATGATGAAACGCTCTGTAAAAACCATTGTTGTAATATTTTACAGACTTTAATGTGGAGATTTGCAGAGTCTTAACTGAGACCCAGTTACTCATAAAATCTCAGCTCAAAGCCGCTGCAGACTGGATTTATCATGACTTTCATATGCTGGAACATTTTACAGGTAACGATCCGAACACGATCAGCTTTAAACAAGGGGTAGAGATGCAGCTGGATTTTTCTTTTAAAAGTCAAAACAGCAGATCTGACAACTTTCTAGCTTTATCTGATTTCTTGTGTTCTCGAAAATACCGTAATCAGAACTTAATGTATACATTTTTTTGATTTGTGTGAATTTACTGTAGCAGAGGTAGACGTAGACAGAAGAAAAATTATCTGGTTTAAGTTTTCTGCAACCTTTACAATAGAAATTGTGAAAAATGTTTAATAAATTGCATTATATACAAATGTTAAAGTGAGTGGCCTGTTTCAGGAGCAGCTCGAGTTAAGCTTCCTTGTTCTCACTATCCTCTACCTCATCATCACTTAGTACGGCTCTTGCAAGTGCAAGAGCTAAAACAAAAGGAAAAAAACATGGGCCACTGCACTGGCTGCTATAATAATAAAAAATAAAAGGACTTTGCTTAAAATGTTTGCATTTCATTCATTATTAAATTACATTTGCCCATCAAATAGGTTTTCATTCTCTGGGAAAAGTTTGGGCACCCCTGATGTATATAAAATCTATATCAACTTTGGAAATTAATCCACTGAGAAAATCCTAAGATCACTTCACGATTAACCCACTAATATTCATAAATGTCACGTTGTACTGATTGTCTGTAAATAACATTAAATGGCCTCTTTTTCCAGGTAGGTTAGAGCTTTGATGACTAAGCCGAATTGTGACATATCTTTCCAAATGTATGGCGTTCAAGTATCGTGTAGCTAGCATTTTTCTCTCCTGAGTTATGACGAGTTAAGTCTAAAATTGTCTATTTTCAAGTAGAGACAACAACAACAGACAACGCCCTTCACACATGCTTCATTGTCTGATTGGTCCGAGACCCCAAGGTTTAATAAATATGGGCCCTAAGATCTGTTTTGACTCAATAGAAAGACCAGATATTCTGATATTTTAGTTTAATTTAAAGGTTAAGAAGTTTTATTACCAAATAAGGTWCTTTGTTTCATTCAGTGCTCGTGTTTTCCACGATAAAATGTTTTGTTCACAAATTTCTGAAATGCCACTGGTTCCAGCCTTCASTAAATGAATTTTGATTCAACTTACAGAATCCTCTTTAACCTGTCTCTTTTATTTAAGGGATCAAATAGTTTTCAAAACGCCCCTTTCTCATTAGTTGATATGATYCTTTAAAAGCCTTTGAAGGTGTGAGATGAACTTAGTGATGCCAGCATGTTTTCGTAAAATCAGCACGGCCCCGGGGGTAGCTTCCATCTACCATGTATTATTCAGTGCTTTGGAGGTGGTTTAGGTGTGTACACAGAATTTAAAGATATTCTCGCAGCCCTTTGTGTTGTAAGACTCAAATCATCAAAGCTCCAACCCTCAGCAATCCCGAGCATCAGAGGAACATTTGTTCTTTGTGGAATGCATTATCTTGTGTCAGCTGGAATGTTCTAAGGTTCTGTCAAGAAGTTCTCCAGTCTGCAGCTCCTTCGTCTGATATCTAGATTACAAACCAGCTTCGTTAAATCAAAGAGAAATTTTTACTSTGGGAACACGTCGGTCAGGATCCACTGCCACAGAGTTCCAGCAGAACTTGTAAAACACGAAGACTCCGTCAGATCCCCTGCCTCCTGAAACATTTAGCTCACCATGTAAGCGGCTGAATGCCGCTGCAGCTCTCAGGCAGGAAGCAGCTCGCAGCCAAAAACACCAGGGCTGATGGAGCAGGAGAGCAGGAGGCTGAGGCTGATGGAGCAGGAGCAGCGAGAAGAAAGATGGAGCCTCCACGGGGGCGCTGACTTTCCCCAGGCCGAGCTGTCCCTRCACATTCAGGAAGATGATTAAAGATGCAATAAGTGTCTTTAAAGATGAATCAGAGGGCCTCTTCT